TCTTAGGGTCGATCTGACTGAACCAGAGAAGGCCTTGGACTGGATAAGAAGCAGAAAAATCTTAGGGTCGATTTAACTGAACCGGTCTAGGTCTTGAAATATAGCTGATAACTTAACTGGATCTTCCCTAAAAGGTAAAGGTCAGTCATATGCAAGGCATGATATGAATCAAGCGATGATGTTCTCAACATAAATGAGATTTGTAAGCTATGATGCGTATATGCATGCTATAATGTATGAAGATGTTTTATGAATGTATGTTTGCCGTCTAGGAAAGTAAATCCTTGACGGGTGCCGGGAAGTCATATCCTGGGCTGATGTTGGAGAATAGATTTTGCTTCCGCTGGGGATGATAGTTGCAAGAATACCGGTAGGAGAAGATAACTCCGTTGGGGAATGAACTTGGCGAATGGATTACTCTGCGGGGAGAAAAGTACTCTAGCGATCTTGCTGGGAAGCCATACTCTATGGGGAGAGAGGTACTTTGCTGAAATGTTTATGATAACTTGCTGGAGATACCCTTGTTGTGTTGGAAGTGTTAATAGACTTCGTTGGGGATAAGAAGACTTCGTCGAGGACGCTCTTTCCGTGGCTTTTTGGCTGAGGTTAACCCAGTTATATCCTAGTAAGGAAATAACTCTTTGAATAAAGCCGGGGGACGCGTTCGTGCTCTGCGAGGATAAGCTTCCAGAATCTACTGGGGATAAGCTTACTGCTTGGGGAGATGGATTCCAACTTTCCTGGGGAAACTGGGTTGGACTCTCCTGGGGAAGTCTTTGAACTGCATCGGGGAAGTGACTTCGTTGAATGTCTGGTATACCGCCGGGGAACAATCTTTAGGTCAAGACTGCCAGGGATGCTTGTTAGGAATGTTCGTATATTGCTGGGGAATGTTGAGCTCTGCGGGAGGATACCCAACTTCCTTAAGTTTGAAAATAGCTTTGCTTGGGGAGAGTGCACTGACTTGCTGACTCACTCTCTAGGGGATTAAGATATATGGTTATATTCTTCAGCCGAACCTAACTTGTACCTTGTGGACAGAGCAATCAGATCGTTTGGACAAACTCATCATTGCCCCTGTCTCTGAGGTGGGAGAGGAAGACCTGTGAGGTGCTGATAGTTGTTTGATGGACCAGCCTCCTTCTGGTAGGCAGGTGACAAGGTGACAGGACATAGTCGTACGCTTTGATCCCTAACTTTTGCCTGGACCGCCCTTTCGGGTTTTCAGTCCACCGGGATACCCATTTTTGCTCAAGCCGCCTTTTCAGGTTTTCGACTTGCCGGGTGTACAGATTTTCCATTTCATCCCTTTATTTTGCCCGAACCCTTTTGGTTCACCGGGAAGCCCTTATTTTTGCCTAGGTGTGTCAATCTAGCGGGTCTTTGATTATGCGTAGTATCTTTTCGACTATATCCATGTTCTTAGAATGTAGGGAGTTGCCCCTGTTAGAAGTGTTTTGTCATGCCTCAGAAGATGTTTCATCAGGCCAGATTCGTTGCTGGAGTGCCCCAAGTGACCCAGGCAGAGATTTGCCTCAGGCTATTTGGTTTTTTAGAGATTCTCTGAATCTTGACCGGACCTCCCCAGATGATAGACCATGACTACATCATGCCCCTTGATTGGAAGTGCTTCTGTTCATTAGGCATTCATCGTGCGAATTTCCCTGCTGTTCAAACAAATAGTCATATGCAAACAAAGTTATGTTAAAAATGCAACACTTATGTCTGTCTTTAAGATGTTTGAGAATGCATTCTTTTTCATAAAACAAGTGAATGTTGGTAAAAGGTGATGTCAACTCCGTATTTACCGTAGGCCTTAAGGAGTCAGGATACCTTTCGTAACAATATGCTTTCGAACTAACCCATGCTTCAGCTAGGACTTTTAAGGGTTATAACGTGGCCTGGTTCACGGTTTAAGAAACAAAGGATAAAGGCTCAAATTATATTTGTACCCACCCGCTCTTCGTGATGTTCTTCAAACCTAAACTCAGTTGATCGTGCGTTAGACCTTGTTTGAGTCTTTGCTTTGATATACCAGTGACGGTTCGGATACTGACGGTTTATTTTGATCAGGCAGTCATTTCCTCTTTTGTTGAGGATTTGCATGACCTCTTTTTTTGATTTTGTTATCCCTGTTTTTTGCCTGAACTGTTCCTTTTTGGAATTACAGTCAGCGGGATGCCCCAGTTTCGTAAGTCTGCTTCATAGGTTTTTTGACTTATTGGGCTTTTTTATTTTGAGAGATATAATGACTGCCTGTCCTTATTGATTATTCGGAACCATCACTGTCTTTCTTTTTTTTGTAAGGACCTCTTTGGTGCCATTCGCTATGCACTTGGATCAACTGAGAGACTACCCTGCCCCAGGTTATGATTAAGGGTTTTAAATTTTGAAAAGAAAAACTCCTACTTCTTTGGCTCAGATGGGTTGACGAGGGATTATCTTCCTTATAACTCCAGTATTTAGGGATTGAAACAATGCCTGTACCTCATCAGCGGGGTCTGTTCAAAAGCATACTGTAAGGATCGTGGTATCGTTTTCGTCATCCTCCCTCAAGAGGCTTAGAATTATTAATCGAGCGTTGATCATCAGAAAAAATATGAAAATAATTTGCATATAGTGAATATGAATATATTGCTTCAAAACAGACATATGCGATGCATTAATGAAATAACAACGTTTAACATGAGTAAATGTTTAAACAATCAAAGAACAACACAACTTGAACATTCGAATGAACAAAAGTTTTCTAGTCTCAGGGCTTGTCACTTCAACTGGTGAGCCTTGGAGGGATGGTAGAAGAATTCAGCCTGACCATCTTGTGTGAACTCCAATGCCCCTTCATCAATCAGATCCTGTATCTTGTTCTTCAGAGCCCAACACTCATTTGTATCATGTCCTGGACAGGCAGAGTGGTAAGCACACCTCTTATTAGGATCATAGACAGGAGATGCTGTGTTGGGGTTCCGGGGATGAGCCCTTAATGTGATCAGATTCAACCTCAACAGGCGTTGTAAAGCTTGAAACAGCGACATGTTGAGCTTGGTGAATTGCCTCCTGGGCTTGTCTGGCTGAAGCTGGTGAAGTTGCTGCTGAGTTTGTGACCCTGAAGCCATTTGAGGAGCTCTCCCCTTATCTCCTTGTCTTAAAGATGGTTGAATGATGACTGGCCCTTCAACCTTAGATGTTTGCCCCAGCGGGTTACCCCGAAGCAGTTGGTTGACGAGAACCCCGAGCTCATCTTGTCTTTGAGCTAGGTCTTGGATGATAGTCATCTGCCCCAGCATCTGGGCTCTCATTGCATCCACTTCTGCTTGCAGATGTTTCAGTCGTTCGTCCTCAGCGCTGTTCCTGACCAAAGTCTCCATGAAAAGTGTCCTTAGCCCCTCCTGCCCCTTGGATAGATTCAGAAGGATTTCCCCGAACCGAGTCTCTTGAGCAAGAAAGTCCTGGTTATCTTGTTGGGAAGCCATTGCTGAAATAAAAAGCGAGAACGTTAAGTGACCTACAAAAGGGGGTACCTGTAATGCAATCATATGCATGATATGTATGCAATGTTTTCAAGGACCTCGCAGGGTAAACAAGAAATTTGTTAAAATTTGAAACCGGTAGCTTGATTGAAGGCACTGCATATTGTTGAGAGTCCTTCTTCAAGGGTCAAAGGCTCACCATATCCAGTGGGTCATAGCCTCTGACAACTTTGTCTAGAGGAAAATAAATCCTCGTTGCCCCTTGCTAGATGTTTGATTTATCATGATCTGCATCACAAGCCCTTGAGATCCTTGAAATGGGTTAGGATGTATGCAATGGTATGATGTTATGCTATGAATGGGGTAATGTGAATAAACCCTGTTATGAGCCCTTATTAAGGACTATAAACAAAACCTGCAAGAAACTTAGGTGTCAGATAACAAGTATGCAAGTAGTCAAGTTGGAAGGCACACAAGTCACACAAGAGAAACCCTTAGAGTTCAGGCCAGCATGGGGTCTGGGGTACTACCCTCTTGAAGTTGGTGGGTTCAACCTGTCCTATTAGCACTACTAAAAAAATGACATTTGAGAAAAGGTTTTTACATCAGGTATGAAAATATATGATGTAAAAAATAAAATTAAAAACATTTTACATCAGGTATTTATTTAGAATGATATAAATAATATGAAAAAAAATATTTTTCGCTATCTATTACATCGGGCCATGTAACCCACCGATGTAAAAGGTTTCGTGAAAAAAACACGGTGGCATTTTTGTAAATAAGAAACAAGGTGATAGAATTGTAAATAAAAAACTGACAAGATATTACATCGGGGCTTATTAAAACCGATGTAAAAAGTCCACGGGCAGATTGCTAATATAAAAAATATATTAAAAACCTTACATCGGGGCATACTAAAAACCGATGTAAAAAAACATGAACGCTCGAACCTTACATCGGGCTATTCTTTTAACCGATGTAAAAAACTACCTTACATCGGGCCTTCTGTAAACCGATGTAAAAAACATTAGCCCAGAACCTTGCATCGGGCCAATCTAAAAACTGATGTAAAAACATTAATACAGAAAAAAAAACTAAAAAAAAAATCATTAAACACGTTACATACTGTAACGTTTTATTTCTTCTTCAAAGAAGAAAATTCTCTCTTCTTTCTATTTCATAAACATCACCATCATCATTGTCTTTCTCTTCATATCTCATCATCCCTTTTAATAAATAAACTGAGAAAGAGAAAAATAAGTTGAGAGTAAGAAGAAGGCGGACGGACGAACCAGGCGGCCGGAGTGGTGGTTCACGATTGAAACCGGCGGCCGGCGCGGCGGCGCAACCGCGAACCTTATTTTTTTCAATTTTTTTATAACTTTTCTTGTTCGAATTGATACTCTCTTTTCAAATTCCAAACTAATTTTTCAAAAACAATTATCAAAAAGAGTAGATCTATAAAAAACTTTTGAAAGATTTTTAGTTCACAACAACATCAAACATCACAGAACAAGAGATTAGAGAATGATTCCGGTAATAGGGAAGGATGGTTAATCTTTTGAAGGTGAAAAGATGATGAATGGAGCGGTCTGAGGGGCTGACGGCGGAGGAGGTTTTCGGCGAGGCTTAGGGGCGGCAGAGGAGTGTTTTTCGGCGATGGTTCCAAGCAGTTGTTCAGGTAAGAGTGAGTTTTTTCCAACTTATCTTTTGCATGATTTCTGGGGATATGGATTGTAACAGAGCTACTACTATATAATAGCTGGTTGTTTCAACAAAAAAAAATCTGTATTATAGTGTAAAAATGGAGAATTGGAAGAAGCATTTAGAGCAACTACTAGTCTGAAAAACAATAAAAAAGAGGTATGATAATAGACAATTATAAACAAAGGATGTCTAAATCTAAATGCTAGAGATGGAAAAGGTATTCTTGTTTGGTTGATAATGTTTAAATGCATCCTCAAAGTATGTGCATGTGAGATTTGTATTATGTTGCATACAAGTGGGTTACTGGAACATATGGTATAGGTCAAGGTACATATGCATATGATATAGGGTTAATGATACTTTCATAGACTTCTGGTTTTAGTTCATGAGCAACAATCACTAACTTTACAAAAATTTCCTTTGTTTTGTAATTAACTGACTCATTACATGTGCTGAGAAATACAACGCCTAACCCTTTCTTTTGATTGAGACATATATAGCTAGCAGTCTCTTTCTCTCTTCTTCTTCATAAATTTCTTTTATATTTTATATTTTATATTTTTTATTATCCTCTTTTCTTTGTGACTTTTTCTTGATTCCTTTTTACTAGTGTTTGTTTATCATGTTTATGTATCATTAGTAGAAATGTTGTTTTGTTTTCATCACTTTTTTATCTAAGAAATGAAAAATGAAATCTTGTGTTCTTCTGTTTTAGATTAGGATTAAAGTTGAGAAGTTGTCTGAAAATGGAAGGTAAATGCAGTTGCATGGAATACACAATCAATATTGGTGAACTTGATACATAATAGAACATAAAATTATGTCTGCATTTTCTGTGTGAATTTTTTCAGTTCAGCTGATTCTCTAGCATACCAGGCTATTGATCTCGTAGATTAGACCTCAAGAATTTTCTCAGTTCCCTATAGGTTTAATTAATGTTTGATTCTTTGATTTTCTGATTATTGAGAATTGCGTTGATACTGAAAAGCATCTTTGATTTGTGTTTCATTTTCTATTTCAATTGATAGGAACAATTTTTTTTATAGATGGTCAAGTTGAAGAAGAAAGTCTTGGTTAATGATCATCTGACATCATGTACTGTCTAAACTATTTGCAGTTATGTTACATTTCATGTTGAAGTAATTTTCTCTAACAAATTATAGCATCAAAGGTTGAATTTTGAACATACCTCCATGTGTAGATGTTCACCATTAGCAGTTATGGACATAAAAGATACTGATGTGATGTTTGGATTATGTGCATTTTTTTGAGTTTCTGTTTTCTATATGTTCATCTAAAAAACTCTAGTTATGTGATTCTCACCATTAGTGTGACTCGAGGTGATTGATGCTATGACTCCAAAAAGAAATTTCCTTTTGATACATAATAATTCCTCCTAATGATTTAACTAAGAATTTATGGTACTTGTAGAACCTACAACAAAAAAGATTAGGAAACTTGATTTTATTAATTATTTTTTGTGGAATGTTTTATTGATTGCGTGATATAATTTGTTCAATTCATTTGCATATTATTTAACTTTAAAGTAAGTAAAATATTCATGCATTGCACATGTTTTAATAAAATACATATTTTAATTTTTTAGGGAACAGAGTTAAATGAATTCAATCCTAGTGGGCGATATGTAACCTCAGAATTGTGGAACAATGTTGAGGACAGAAGAGCAACTCTGCAGGAAGGAATACAATTTCTGTTGGACAACTCATCAAACAAACGCGAGAGGGGAAAAGCTACCATGGGAAGGTTTGTATTTGTTATAATAATCCATACACTGCATTTCCCTTCAAGAAGTTACATGTGATTTCTACTTCTAGTATATATTTGGAGTCTCTCATATATGATTACTGCTTCTGTTTTAATTACCAGCCATGCTAATAGAGTTTGAATTACAGGAAGGGTGAATGATGATTAAAGAGAAGAAGAAACTCAAGAAAGTGCTTAGTTAAGGAAGAATTTCTAGCGTGGGACAATCAAACTGATGTTAGCAACTTTTGATTACATATTGAGCACTAATTTGATTACATATCCCATCTCACCCTTTACTACTTATACAAGCATGCCCCCAGTTCATGATACTAGTTCATTGAGCACTAATTTGATTACATATTGTTTTTTAAACCTAGTCAGTTAATCCATAGTTCTTGATAATGAAGCATGTTGATTGTTGGCTTTGTTCTTTACTTATAATAGTCCCGCTGTTGTAGACTTGTAGCTATTTGTTGTCATGAGAGTTGTTATTGTTAGCCTCAATACTCAATTACTCACAGGATAGAATCACCTAAATATATATGACTATGCCCTTGTAATAGATTTGACATCAAATTTCAACTAGACTTTCTGTTCTGATGCACTATTAGTAATGATACAACTTCATGTTTTCAGGTTTCATACTATTTTAGAAAGCCGTGTGCAAATGATATTGTGATTTTTAAAAGCCCTCCAGTCCTTCAAGAAGTTGGATATACTGATGATGATGTTTTCATAAAACGTGTTGTTGTAAAGGAAGGTGATATTGTAGAGGTACGCGCTTTGGAGATATACATTCTTGCTCTTGTTTCATGATGTTGCCTTTGAGTTCTTTGTTCAATTCGTTGTTTGTGCTAATGTTGTTGTGCACTGTTGGGCTTCATGATTACAAACAAATTTTTACAAATGTGCTATTACATGTCATTTTTCGATGAATTTTATCTTGCTTGATTAACATTTTTAAGGGTTGGTTAAGTGACTAATGATCACTGTTTATTGCCTGTACCTGGAACTTTTAAATTTGCATGAATGTAGAAAATTGAATCAGTATTCAGTTATTAAAACTTTAGTCAGAATCACTGTTTATTTCCTGTACATGGAACTTTGAAATTTGCATAAATGTAGAATATTGAATCAGCATTCAGTTATTATAACTTCAGTCAGATTCTTGCTGTGTTTGATTAAGTGCCTTTATGTACTAAATCTGAGTAATTGAATTATTTGCAGGTTCGAAATGGACATGTTGTAGTTAATGGGATTGAAAGGGATGAGAAGTTTATAAATGAAGCGCCGAAATATGAAATGAAACCAATAGTAAGTTCTACACTTTTATATTGTAACTTTGTTTTTCTCCAGTTCTCTTTAGGGCCTCCTTAAAGTGTTTAAAATTAAGAACATATGCATAATTAATAAATAATACAAAACAATTTAAATAAAATCGACACATATCATTCTCTTAAAAATACTTTGCTTTGCAGCGTGTTCCAGAAAACTCCCTTTTTTGTGATGGGAGACAACCGCAATAACAGCTACGACTCACATGTGTGGTAATATATTTAAAGATTACATGCATTATGTACACTATTCTTACTTCTTATTTGAGTTATTTCCTTACTTGTTAAATACAATTTTCTTAGGGGTCCCCTGCCGGCCAAGAATATCATAGGTAGATCAGTATTCCGCTATTGGCCACCAAATAGAATTGCCGCCACAGTTGCTAAGGGAGGGTGCCCTGCTGAAACCAAGCCGGAGACTACCAGTACTACTCTAGCATCTCAATGGTGAAGGCAACATCTTTTTTTGTCGAGCTTCAAATTAGTATTCATTTTGTACAAGGAAAACGATTTTACGCTTCTTCCCATTCTTCGTGTTAGCTTGTATCATTGCTGATGCCTGGTCACCCTTCTGTAACAAAATTTTGAATCCAAAGATTAGCAAGACACACACGAAAGATGAAATGATGGAATTCTTAATTCTATTTTGTATTACTAACAACTGGTTACAGTACTATCCCATTTACATTGGTTGATCACAGTAATGGAAAATTGATGAATTTTTTCTGTAGGTGGCAATTTACTCTTTAACCAACTTTCCCAATCTTGTCAACCGTAGGAAACAAACCACAATATCATATACTGGGTTTTTGGTTCTTTGCAGTGACACAAATTGCTGTCTTTATGATTGGAGATTCGCCAATAACAGAGATAGGAAGAAGGTGAATTAAAGGCACTTCATACCTTTTACATCGGTTATTACTCCAAACCGATGTAAAAAGTTGCGTCAATTTTTTTAAAATATTGTTATAATTGTTTTTTACATCAGTCTTAGATCACAACCGATGTAAAAAAGGGACTTTTTACATCGGTCCACACGTTTAACCGATGTAAAAAGTTGCGTCAATTTTTTTTAAATATTGTTATAATTGTTTTTTACATCAGTCTTAGATCACAACCGATGTAAAAAAGGGACTTTTTACATCGGACCCAAAACCGATGTAAAAAGTACCTGATTTACTATATCGCCTGACTTTACATCGGACCCAGAACCGATGTAAAAAGTCAGTTTCACCCGATGTAAAAAGTCATTTCTGCACTAGTGTAGAAGTAATCGGGTTCTAAGGGTCCCAATATCATGGGATTGCTTTCATTGTTCATCATTTCGATTTAGCCACTGAACTGGCGACCGAAATATTCCAGGAAAGCAACCCTCAATTGAGTGTAGTATCGAGTATCAACCAACCTCGGACTGCACCAAAGTCAGTTATCTCACTACCCTAAAGAGGCCAAGATAGTTCAATTAAGGTTCCTAAGGTCTGTTGATGCTTCACGACACCACGCGGAGGCCCCGTACTCTCCTTGACTGAACTCAAGGGTTACCGGTACACACTAAAGTGCCACATCAACGTAGCAGACTGTTTCAACCATATCGGTATACCCCGTACAGTTCCCTCACAGCCTTGTTGCTACTTTCTAAGAAGGTATCCCCCAGATCCGGGTTAGGATCTATAGAACTCCCAAGCAACCCACAATTTAAAGCAAGCAAATCAATACAATTGAAAACACAGTTATGAACTAATCCTAAGGTACACCTCACTTTATATTGTGTCCCCAACAGAGTCGCCAGTTCTGTGATCGGTGGATCTGGAACTGACTATTTAACGCTGGTTCGCGAAATGTCGCGGAAGCAAGAGTCGCCACCGTCTTTTATTTTCTCCAAATGGGAAGGACAAAAGCACAGAAAAATTCCTTTAAAGAGACTAGTTCTCGGTTCGGAAGGTAGGTTATAGAAAGGGAAGGTGTTAGCACCCTTTCTATCCATGGTTATCCATGGGCTCTTAGATACTTGCTCATTTGTGTTATTAAAAGTGTTTGCTTTTCAATTGTGAGTGAGTTTGAAAAAGTTTCGTTTAAAGATTTCAGATCGACTCTTGTGTCAGTCCTCAAGAGTGTTTGAAAAATTGTTTTTGAAAGCTTTTTGAAAAGTGTCGGTGTGAAAAGAGTTTTGTTTGTTTTTGAAGAGAGCAAGTATCTATGAGTCATCTACCTACCCTAAGGAATTAGGTTGTGTAAATGTCCTTTAAAGTAGTGCCATCCCACCATTGAGAGGTAGGTAGCACCACCGTTGGAGGTGTTTGGGTCAATTCGAAGTTTGGGACATGGTGATCACCAGAGCAATGGGAAGATACCTTAGAAGCTACCCGCATGCCAGGTTCCCGGATCATGAGGACTTACTAAGACATCCTCTACTCGACGATCACCTTTCGAGGCAAGGCAACAGTGAGGCGTACCCTAGGGGTGGTGTGTGATTTGTGTGTCATGTTCATTTATTTTTGTCTCGTCATGTTATGGTGATCTACGCGTTTGTTTTTATTTAGACATTCATTCTTGCATGCAATTATTAACAGTTTAAAGAAAGAGCGAGAATTAAAGCTCCTAAACTATTACAAAGGCGCGGGTCCACATCGCCAAATTTAAATCCAAGACCCGATTTGACAAAAAATAAAGGAAAGTGCGAGAAATATAGATTTACACGGCTTTGGGAGAATTACATTAATATTATATGAAATAAAATAAAATGCGCGAATTGGAATTATTAGCGAATGCGAGGGCGTTGGACCCTTTTTAATAAAATTAAATTATAATTAACAAATTAAATAAAATAAGAGAAATTATTTTTGAGTTTTTTGTATTTATGAATTTTTATGAGAATTAAATGGAATTGAGAAATTAACCCTAATTCTTGTTTTTTTTTATTTATTAAGAAAAGCATTAAACTTTAACCTAAAATTAACCCTAATTAATTAATTGCAAGTATTTACAAAAATAATTAATTATTAGTGATGAGAAAATAAAAGAAAAAAGTAATTAAGGTAATTAAAACCTAATTCTACAAATTTTAAATTTATTGAGAAAAGATATTTGAAATTAACCTAAATTTAAATCTAATTAGTTAGTGAGATTTATTTACAAAAAAAAAATATTTAAATAAAACATATTTTAATTTTTGTCTTTTCTGATTTTTATATTATTTTTATGTGAAATTAATTTTTATTGAATTAAAAGAAAATAATGGAATTAAAACAAATAATAAAAATAAAACAAAGAAAATAGAAAGAAATACAATACCAAGGGGGGTTCTGTCCCCAAATTGGAGGTAAAGTCCAGCATTTTTTTGGCCCATTGATCTTTGGCCTGGTTGACTTTCCAAGGTAGCATGAGTATGCGTTGACTGCAGCACATCATAGGCTTTGACTCTGGACCATTGGATTGAGATCAGTAGGCATGTGGCACGCCTGGATGATGAGTGTATGGTAGGCCTTTGAGGGGAATTTGCATGAGATCACGCTGAAACAAAAAATATAGAACAAGGTGAGGGACCTGGGAATCGAACCCAGGTCCCAATGCTCATGTGACAACGCATCCACCATCTGCGCTATTGGCTTTCTTTGTAGTATTAGTGGGCAACAAATAATATATAGAATAAAACACGTTAATAACATTAATTCAAAAAACGCGCTAAAATTTTAAATGGACCTATCGTATGAAGACAAGTCATCGTCTTCCCCGTTTGAGTGTTTTTCCTGAAACATAAAAAGGGTTAGCGGGGGTTCTGAACCCCCCCAAAATACACCATTTTTCAAAATAGCGATTAGGCTATGGTGTTTCATAAATTAGGCGCGAGGTATGTGTTCAGATCGTCCAAGCATGCTGATTTCAATGGGGTAGGTCTCAAGTCTCAATTGTTCCAGAATAGGGAAACCCCAATTCGTGACCTCTGTAACCCTAAAAGACAACAATGGCAATTTCGCGTATGGTGTATAAAAATTCAATTAAACTACACGGTTAGCTTCAGAATCAATTAATTAGTATGAATCCATAAGAAAAATGCAATGAGAATGCTTGAATATTGAAATACGAATATGCATATAATGTGAAAAAGTTTGAGTTCCATTCACCAATTCTGGGCGTTAGGGATGTGGAAAACTATTCAGACACGTTTCTTGATGTCTCAGGAAGGTGATAGAATGGTTATTTCGCCTTGAAACCTCTTGGAACCCTGTTTTCAGTTTTGGAAATTTTAGGCAAAAACTCAAACTTCTCTCTTGGTTTCTGGCGCAGCTTTCATGTGTCTAGCTTTAGGGTTTTCATGAGTATATGTATGTGAACGATTAGGGTAAGGTTTTTGGTCCAAAGAATCTATGAATTGATGGAGTCAATATTTGATTTTCATGCCATAATTTTCCAATCTTTTTCATGCTATTTTGGTTCCAATCATGTCCAATCACATGGATTCTTTCCCTATCTAATAATGCACGAAAATCTGAAGTTATCCCATGCATAAAAAGATTTGATTGACTTGCTTTGATATTTTCCACATATTTATTTTAATTAAATGAATTATTAGCCATTAAAAATTCAAATAAATAAATAAAAATGATGAAAAACTTCCCTTTGGGCCAAATGGTCGTGCACATGCTTTGGATGATGATTCTTGGAAGAAAATGTGGCCCATTAGCATTTTTAAGGTATTTGAAGCAAAGTTGACTTTTCAAAATACCTAAAAATTTCCCAACTTCCACAAGGCATATCTTGCTCAATTTTTAAGCTTTGCTCATGTTCTTGGACATTTTGGAATGGTCTTGAAGTCCTCTAACCAATTCCTTTGGTCCCATGTCATTTTGACTTACCAATCTCAAGTTATGGTCTTTGACTTAAAGTCCCTTTTTGTTGACTTTTGAAAATGACCTATAATGTTGAAATTGATAACTTTTTGTGAGAGCATTTCTTGGACTTGAAGTGTGAATAGGAGTTGTAGGAAATGTCTTTATCTTCAAAATGAGCTTTGGAGGGAATTTTTCTGATAATCCATGTGAAAGTTATGCCCTGGTCAAGTTACAGTTGACTTTTTCAACTGTCCAAATATGGAAACTTTTGCATCTTGAGACTTTTTGAGCCAAGCTTTGAGAATCATGATCAAGCATTGATCAAATGATGTTTGTGGCTTCAAAATGAGATGTTGACCAAAAATTTGAACTTTTGACTGTCAAATGACCATTTTGCCCCTACAGTTGACTGTAGTGCAATTAGGGTTTGGTACTGTGAAATTTTGTGCTGTAAGTCTTGAAACTTGGTATGAGGATGCTTGACCATATTTGTAGGCATGTGGGACTTGATTGGACCCTTGGAAACTTCATTTTCTTTGTCAGAACCAAAACCCTAATTTTTTACTGTTAGGAGGCCCTTGAACTGTGCAACCCTTGGGGAGATTTTGAACCTTTGACTTGG